ATATTCTCTTTGTTTGCTTAAACCAGTCTGATGCACAGTTGTTGTTACTACTGTTTTCATCTAAAAGAATCTTACGTGGCCCATGAAATAGGGGCTGTAGGATTATAGTGGAAGAAGCCCTATAATAAGAATTGAAGTATATGGGCTCTTGTTTCAGCCAAGACAAAGGAATTTGAATTGGGTGAGCTTTCCAGCCTTCCTATGCCCCAATCTCCTGTCACGCAATAGTGACTGAGCTAAGTAATTTTGTGTGGTTCCCAAATCTCCTGTCAAATTTTGCAACTAATTACATGTGCTTAAGTTAACTTGATACACTTTTCTATGCTAAAGATTTAAAGCATATGTATTCATGAAATTTGCCTAAGCAAATAAAGACTACTGGTATCCCTCGAGTTTAAAAGAGTCAAGTTATTCTTGCCATAATTTTCTAGTTTTTCATAATATTTTACCCCAAAGGTGGGCTCCCCAAACCAAAAATGTGGCTGTTTGGGTGGGTGATGTTTCAATGGATTCCATTATTTTTATTTCTCTGAGACAGAGTCTCCCTCTGTGGATTAGAGTGCCCCTGGAGTCATAGCTCACAGCAACCTCTTGGGCTTGAGCAATCCTCTTGCCTCAGACTCCCGCGGAGCTGGGACTATAGGCACTAGCCACTATCTACCTAGTTTTTCTATTTTTGGTGGAGGCAGGGTCTTGCTCTTGCTCAAGCTGGTGTCAAACTCCCTAGCTCAAGCAATCCACTTGCTTCATTACATGGATTCTTTCCTGGCACCTGGGTAACAAATGGTGATAGTTTATTATTCACATATATATTGATCACCACACACCTTGTGGGGCTTGTGATAGTTTCTAATCCCTGGGTAACACTTGTGGGTAGCCAATGGAGAAGCACAAAGACTCAGGCTCAGTATGCATTTAAGTTACAGCATTTCCTAAACCACTACCTGGGATGTGCAGTCTGGCCAAATGTGCCTCCTGAAGTGGAATTGTCCCTAAAGACACAGGATTTATAGTCATTCTATCCATACACCAACCAAGTTAACACAGACTCGTACCCCAGGAAAGCAGGATGTTTCTGATTATCACTACAAGCAGGCATCCCTGCTGTAGATACAATATTTAAAAATAACTTGGTGGTCAGGGAAAATGTTGGAAAGCTACAGAAATAGAAATAATAACTGTTTGTAAGTATTTATTTGCTTTCCTTAGTTTATATTTCCTATGGAACAGAGCCAGGATGGGGTAAAGCAAGTGAGGCCCATGGGGTCCAAAAATTCATGGAGGCATCACTCTCAGGCCTGACCCCCAGAGAGAGGGAGCCCCCCTGAAATCTGCACCCTGCTTCTTGCCCTGCACTCACAGAATGTCTGACCATTCTATTTATTGAGCCAGAGTGCCCTTGTTCTTTGACTTTTCTGAATTGAAGCAATCCAGGTGGTCCCCACCCCCACCCCCAGTGAAAACTCCCAGGGGAATATGTGTGCTAAATCCCTTCCGTGAGGAACAACACTGTATAGGCTGTGACAGGCATAATACAAACACACACACACACAATTTATGACTAGGATGTAGGAAACACGTTTTTGTAAAATTCTTTCTGCAGGGTAAATAGAGAAGACGAGATGTAAAACACGTCTTAAAGGACTTCAAAAGATAAAGTCAGCTGGAGGAGGGTGTCTAATGTGCTGTTTGAAAATATTTTTTCATTGGCTGTCTGAATCTGGAATGCAGTTTTTTTTTGTTGTTGTTTGTTTTTTGAGACAGAGTCTCACTTTGTTGCCCTCCGTAGTGCCATAGCATCATAGCTCCCAGCAATCTCCAACGCTCAAGCGATTCTCTTGCCTTAGCCTTCCAAGTAGCTGGGACTAAAGACACCTGCCACAATGCCCGGCTATTTTTAGAGATGGAATCTTGCTCTTGCTCAAGCTGGTCCTGAACTCCTGAGTGCAAGCACCCCCGACAGTCTCCCAGAGTGCTAGGATTATAGGCGTGAGCCACTGCACCTGGCTGGAATTTAGTTTTTAAGCAGTTTATTTATGCCAGGCTCTCTGAGTCACAGATATCCTATATGCTGAGCACCAACTGTCCTCTACTGAGAGAGGTTTTGTTCGTAAATGTTTGCATTGTGTGAAGTTAGTACATATAATCTGCTCTGGGCTAAAGCAAACCTCTTAGAACTGAAGCTCCTTGTTACAAAAAGATGATAAAGTAAGCATGTTTGTGAAATATATTGCAGAGTTTTCCTTTCCCACATGACCCATTTGCCATCTCTTTGTGAGGGCCCGCTTGCTATGCAGGTGCTAGGTCTGCTGTGAGGGAACATGGGTCCCCTGAGAGTCCACCAGCAACATAACCAGCATGGCGTCAGGGACTTGGGGGTTTTAAATAACTTTAAATCTTTGATTTTTTTAAAAGTAGAAAATGAAATCACAAGTTACCAAGTGAAATGTAATACAGAATTCGTAGTTCAGTTTTAAAGCATTCTATAGGAAAACTGTGCTACTTGTGTTAACTAAGATATCTTCATCATATCCGTTGGGCTTTTCCCCCCTAGCAGGCTAAAGTGAAAAAAAAAACAACCTACATTTTTTTCTTTTTGTTCCTTTTATTTTTACTTGACCTGGAATAATTACACCTAACGTATGCGATATGGAGTGACATTTTGACACATGTGTACAACATGTAATGATCAACTCAGTGTATCTGACAGATAATTAGCCTGTCACCTCCAACGTTTATCATCTCTATGTGCTGGGAATATTTCAAGTCCTCTCCTCTAGCTAATTTTGAAATATGTAATACATTGGTGTTAACTATGGTCACCCTGTCCTGCTACTCAACACTAGAACGTGTTCCTCCTATTTCACTGTAATGTTGTACCCATTAATCAACCTCCCCCAAACCTCCCCCTCCTAGCCCCTACAAGTCTACTATCTACTCCTAGGAGCACAGTTGGTTTGTTTGCGTTAGCTCTGACATGTAAGGGAGAACATGCAGTATTATCCGTCTCTGCCCGACTTACTTCATTTAACATAATGTCCTCAAGGTTCATCCATGCTGTTCCACATGACAGGATGTCCTTTTTCTGGCTGAGCTGTATTCCACTGCACCTATTCATCTGTTGATGGACGCTTAGGTTACTTCTGTACATTGGCTATCGTGAATAGTGTGAGAATAAACGTGGGGGTGTGGTATCTCTTTGGTATCCTGGTTTCTTGTCCTTTGGATAGATATCCAGGACCAGGAGTGCTGGTTCCTATGGTAGTTTTATTTTTAGGTTTTTGTTTTTCAAACTCCATTTAAAAATGGAATTTTAGAGAAGCTTCTTGGACGGGTCAAATCCTATAGGCCATGTTAAAATGAGCAGAGTGTTACCCTAGGACTAAACATTCAGGCTGAGGTAAAGCTCTGAAGAGACTTCAAATAAAACACTTTAAAAATGTTAATACCTGTAATCCCAGCACTCTGGGAGGCCAAGGCGGGAGGATTGCCAGAGCTCAGGAATTTGAGACCAGGCGGAGCCAGAGAGAAGTCTCATCTCTAAAAATAGCCAGGTGTTGTGGCAGGAACCTGCAGTCTCATCTATTCTGGAGGCTGAGGCAAGAGAATCACTTGAGCCCAAGAGTTTGAGGTTGCTGTGAGCTGTGACACCATAGCACTCTACCAAGGGCAACAGAGTGAGACTCTGTCTCAAGAATAAACAAATAAAAATTTAAAAAATGTAAATGTACCAGTTTGCCATGGAGTAAGAGGGTGGCGTAAGTTCTTGCTCCTTGGCACAAGTCACACCTCTAATTCCCAAGGTAAAAGAATCATCCGTTTAATTCGTTCACAGACCACCACAGCCCCCAACGACCTCCACGTTCAGACACAGGTTTCTAGGGACCATCTGGTACCTAGTTCCCACGTAAAGAAAAGCTGAGGCAGAGACACAGAAGCCTGCAGTAGCAAGAGCTCTCCTTCCTAATTCCCTGGGTCTTCTTCTTGATCTCCTCCAGCCCACCGGCTGCCCTTGCCAGTTCTCCTGTCCTGTGCGGATTCTCTATTCAGCTACCCAGACCACAGAGGCCAGGGAGGCAGTTCTCTGGGGCAGCCCCGAGTTTGTCCTAGAAAACGTGAGTTGATTCAGCAACCTCATGTTCCTTTCCTGCAACTCTACCCTGGGAAGGCTCTCAAAGTAAAAAAGACCTTACTGTTGATAAAGCCCTTTCCTTTCATCCTTCAAACCTACACACACCCGTAAGGCGACAAAGCACCTTGTACAAGTTCCTTTTGGACGAGGACGTTGGTGTTAGCAAGGTTTGGGCTGCGATCCTGGGCAAGGACCTGGACCGTGACCCCAAATCTAGTGATTTCCACTGTTCAGGAAAGGCGACGGCTGTCCAGGGTTCCCGCCCATAGCAACCCCTCTACTCCGTTCTGGGGCCCAAACTCACAATTTCCTAACGCTGTCCCCCTCATCCTGTCATTTCCATATTGTTGATTGAAATTAGGCGAAATCTTGTTTCTACAAAATTATATTGCAGATTATTATAATTTTACAACTCAAAACAGATGAAGATTCAGAGGTTGTGAATTCACTCAGTTGCATACAACCATAACTGTGATGCCCGGTCGTTCAAGTATGTTAATTTGACACATCTTTTCGAGAGGAGGCTGACTGGACAAACTGACTCGACTGCAGCGTCCATGGTACGGATCCTCCCCTTAGGCTCCGTCACTAGGTCGCGTAGGAGGAGACACTGAGCGGCTCCCCTGGGCTTCTGTGTCCGCTGCCTGCTCCGGTAACTGGACTGATCTTGAGGCTTTGCCTACCTGGGTCCAGCCACGTGGGAGGGAAGGGCAAACCCTGGTTGTTCCTAACTCCGGACACATGGGGGCGCTTTACCTCAATGGCTGCCGAGAAGGAGGCATGGTGACACTCTTGCCCCCAGGACGTCGACGTGCCCCCGTCCTGAGGGCCGCGCGCTCCGACCCGGAAGAGCACGGCGTCACGTGGCGCGGCGTGGGCCGCTGCCTTGGAAACGCGAAGAGCATTCTCTCCCCAACCCGGCTACGGTGTGCGGGCGAGGGTCTCGTGGTGGGAGAAGGTGCTGCTCACGGGACGCGATGCTGTGTTCCCGAAGGCTGGGCGGCCTTGGAGCCGGAGTAGCGGCTCTGCGGCCGGGGCGAGCGGACCAGACTGGCCTCCGAGCCGGGATTCAGGCCCGAAGGGTCAGCACCAGCTGGTCCCCAGTAGGCGCTGCCTTCAACGTCAAGCCTCAGGGCCGCCGCTTGGACCTTTTCAGCGAGCGCCGGGTGAGCGGCGCGGGAGGGGACTCCCTTTGCTCCCAGGAGCTAAGCGGGACCTCCGTATTCGACAATTCTAACGCCAGCTGGGTAGTTTGAGACTGGCAGGAGCCATGCTGCAAACCCAACTTAATGCCTTGGGGTGTTCACACGTTTTGGTGTCCGTGCTCTTCACCTCATTGAGGGGCTGGGTATAAAGGGGGCTGGACGGGCGGCCCTTGGTAGTCTCCTCCCCAAAGTGTGGGGTCAGGACCTGCCCAACGTGAACCCATCGTTCCACAGGAGTTTAAAGTAGTTCGTGGTGGCCGTGAATTCGTTTTGCGGGGCCACTCTTTCCCTACACTCAGCCCCCCGCTAAAGTTCACTTTCGCTCCTGCCCTACTCTAATACCATTAGACGCCTAGCCCCGTGCATTCACATTCACTGTCAAGTTGTCTTTTTGCAAGGACAGACTTGCCTTCAGTCATGTGATAGTAATTTCATTGATGCTCGAAATTTTAGCACTCATTAATTTATTATTTTAAAGCTTGGGTTTTCTTGCTTTCCTGCCTGCCTTCCTCCCTTCCTCCCTCCCTCTCTTACTCCCCCTTCCTCCTTCCTTCCGTCTCTCTGTTTCCTTCCTTTCTTCCTTCCTTCCTTTTTTTTTTTTTTGGTGGGGGGAGGGCGGAGCTGAGCCTCTGTAGCCCCGGGTAGAGTTATTTCACTGCAACCTCAAAATCTTGGACTCAAGCGATTCTCTTGCCTCAGCCTCTTAAGTAGCTGGGAGTGTAGGTGCCTGCCAAAACGCCCAGCTACGTTTTTCCTATTTTTAGTAGATACAGTATCTCATTCTTACTCAGGCTGGTCTTCAGCTCCTAACTTCAAGCAATCCACGAGCCTCAGGCCTCCCAGAGAACTAGGATTACAGGGATGTGCCAGTGCCTCTTGTTTACCTTTAAAACTCACAGTGCTGTTGAGATGAGTCTGATTTCCTATAGTGCAATGGAGTTGGTCACTTCGATTTCTTTCCCCAGGAAGTGGCTAGACTGAATTCTTTGGTTACTTATCTCTGTGCCCACCCTGCTTAGCGTTGCGTCTGGGATTCAGTAAACATTCAGTAATTATAGAATGAAGGAAGGAAGCAAGGATGAAAAGAAGGCAGACTTGAAAAAGACTTATCTAATGCCTGTTGTCCATTTTAGGTTAAGGATTCCGTTTTGCTTCTTAAAATCTCTTCACTATATCATTGTCTTTCTTATAAAGAAGAGTCTAGGTTATGGTTGCAGTGAGCTCGAGGGTGTACTTTTTTTTTTTTTGCAGTTTTTGGTGGAGGGCTGGGTTTGAACCCACCACCTCAAGTATGTGGGACTGTGCCCTCCCTACTTCTTGAGCGACGGGTGCTGCCCCGAGGGTGTATTTCTTATTTTGTCTTTTTCTTTACTTTTGTTTATTTTAAAAATTTCTGGTGTGAAATTTGCTATGCTGACTACTGTGAGAGTATGTAATGTTAGTATTGACATTCTTGGTGTGAGAAGAACTACTTATAGGTACCTGGGTCAATGAAATGTAACTAATTTCAGCCTTATTAACCTTTTCTTTTGTGCATGGTTATTATGGTAGGTCATTAGAACAGATTTTAAAATTTGCAAAATTGGCTTAGCTCCTGTGGCTCAAGTGGCCTAAGGAGGTAGGCCACTCATAGACCTAAGGTGGTGGGGCCCGGCAAACAACAATGACAGCTGCAACCAAAAAATAGCCTGGCATTGTAGCGGGTGCCTGTGGTCCCAGCTACTTGGGAGGCTGAGGCAGGAGACTCGGTTGAGCGTAGGAGTTGGAGTTTGCTGTGAGCTGTGATGCCACGGCACTCTACCCAGGGGGACAGCTTGAGGCTCTGTCTCAAAAATAAAATAAAATAAAATAAAATAAAATTTGCGAATTGGCTTTTACCATTTAAAAAAAATTGTTATTTTTAGCAGTACCCTGAGCATTACTAAGAGCAGAATGGGGAGATTATATTGGGAAGTGTAAATAGTCTGTGTTTGAATCAAATTAATATAAATGTTAAATTTATTTTTGGTCTTGATTCTGTTCTATTCCCAACTGTTTTTCATTTACTTTCTTCAACTTCTAATATATTTTGAGGAGAGACTAACAGCTTAACTTCATGCATCCATCTTTGTAGAAATAGTAGGCTTTATCACCCCTGATGGTTACCTGTTGGAATTTCCAAAAATCTGCATGTAAAGCACCTACAAAGTTAATTTACAAAGTTTAGCATCTGCTCCATTCATTTGTTTCATTCATTTATTAAATTTTTCTGAAATTTCTATGGACTTGATAATCAATTCATCCTCCCTATTTCATAGTTGTAGAATAATTAATTGGTGCTATGTACTGAGATCTTACTGTATATCAGACATTGTCCCTAGTACTTGACGTGTACTTTCTAACTTAGAACCTCTATTCGTGCTGTGAGATAAATATTGTCATTCTCATTGTACCCGATGAAAAAATTGAGGCCTAGGAAGGAGAAATGAATTGGCCAGGTTTACAAACTAATACATGTAATAGCTAATGTCTTTTAAATGCTTTCCATATGCCAGGTATGGTGGCTCATGCCTATAAGCCTAGAACTTTGGGAGGCTGAGGTGGGTAGATCGCTTGAACTTAGGAGTTCCAGACCAGATTGAATAGGAGCAAGACCCCATTTCACTAAAAATAGAAAAACTAGCCAGACACTGTAGCAAGTTGCCTATAGTCCCAGCTACCTGGGAGGCTGAGGCAGGAGGATCATTTGAGCCCAAGAGTTTGAGGCTGCTGGGAGTTATGATGCCACGGCACTCTGCCCAGGGCTATAGTGAGACACTCTCTCACCAAAAAAAAAAAAAAAAAAAAAAGCTTTCTATATGCCACGGACTATTATAATTTTTAAAAATATGTATTATCTCATTTAATCCTCTCAGCCACTGTGAGTTAGATTCTGCAGTACTGACAGAGCTGGATTTTGAACCCATATCATTCAATTTGTGCTTTTTAGAAAATAATTAAAAATTGAAGAAAAAATTATCTTCTTAAAGAATTTTTAGTTTATGTGGAGTGATATGGGGAGTATGAAAGTGGTCTCTGGAGTGACAAGTATAATTATATGTTACAACAATACCAAGATTTTCTTTATGAAAAAAGTATTTCTAGTTAATATAAAAGAATTCATAATTTTGGTTATAAACTGGAGCTGTCCTTTGGTTTTAAGGGTCTTTTTGGAGTTCCTGAGCTCAGTGCCCCAGAAGGATTTCAGGTTGCACAAGAAAAAGCCTTGAGAAAGACAGAATTGCTTGTGGAACGTGCGTGTTCTACCCCTCCTGGGCCCCAGACTGTACTCATTTTTGATGAACTCTCAGATTCCTTGTGCAAAGTGGCCGACTTGGTAAGAATTTTTGTTTAAGACTTGAAACAACTTCTCTTTCAATCGACTGCAATCACAGTGATGTTTTCCTTTGTTATTTAAGATAAGGTTAGACTACAAGGTTAAAAATGTCTGAAAACTGTATCTGTTGGGTAGAATTTGTTATGGTGAAGTATGTCATTAGGAATGGGAAACATGTATAGTATTTAGTACTTCAATTTGTATATTTAATGTATATGTAATATAAAGGCTATTACTAATATAGAAAAGATTCTTTATTTGATGAAGGTTCTTCATTTATGAAAATTACTAAAATTTTAGTGGAACATTTTTGTGTGTACATTTACAGCAAAATTCCCCTTTTTTTTTTAAATTGAGACAAAATCTCGCTATGTCACACCTCAGTCACCTTCTGTGAGTCATAGTTCACAGCAACCTCAAACTCTTAGGCTTAAGCTATTCTCTTGCTTCAGCCTCCCAAGTAGGCGCCCACCACAACACCCAGCTATTTTTTTGTTGTTTTTGTTGTAGTTGTTGTCGTCGTTGTTCTGCAGGCCCGGGCAGGGTTCGAATCCACCAGCCCCAGTGTATGTGGCCGGCTTCCTAACCATTGAGCTATGGGCACTGAGCCAAAAATTCTCTATTTTCATAAGAGGAATGATCCCAGTATTTATAAATCTTTCCTGGAATGTTTTTTCTGATGAAAAATAACGTTTCTGGTTCACACCTATAATCTTAGCACTTTGTGCAGCTGAGGAGGATTGCTTGAGCTTAGGAGTTTAAGACCAATCTAAGCAAGAGCGAGACCCTATCTCTACTAAAAATAGAAACATTGGCTGGTCATTGTGGCAGGTATCGGTAGTCTCAGCTACTTGGGAGGCTGAAGCAGGAGGATCACTTGAACTCAGGAGTTTGAGGTTGTTGTGAGTCTTAGGCTGATGCCACTGCATTGTAGCCTGGG